GGGGGGGGGTAAGAAACCTGCTGAAACGAAATACCATACAGAAATAGCTTCAAACCATTTTCCTACTGTATAATTCTACCATTTAAATTGTTTAAAGCAAACTACACAGCAAATGTTTGCAATACAATTACTTTCATTACAAGTTGTTGAAAAAATGTTGTAGAATGACACATACTACTACATATACCTTAAACACTATAAGCACCTCAATGTTGTTTTTGCTCAATAATTACCAAAAAACTCCAAAAGATTACTGCTTACCATTTCATCTGCCAGAATGCCATTAACACCATTTTCATACAATGAGATCATCCAGTTCAAACCTCTAACCTGATAATCTCTTAGTGTTCCTCCTTTCACATCTGTAAAAGTAAGATTTCTCTAAGTAGAAAAATACTAAGTAGAAAATTTTAATTGCAATCTGCTCAGATTACAACAAAGCAATTGGAGAACTGTCAATACAATACTTACATGAAGGAGATTCCTCAAATCGAATACAAACATTAGACGTTTTTCGACTCTCTGACAACAGCTCTTCATCTTCTTCTTGTTCTGTGCGCCTGTGACGATAACTAAAGAAAGAATCCAAAATTCATGTTTATATGAAATAATTTCAAAACACAGACTATAAAAATCAACAGAGACAAATTATAACAGAAACACTCATTGACTTACTGTGTGTGTGTTCTGCTACCCTGACCAAAGACACATCCTGTCAATAAGTTATGGTTCATTACAACTTTAATTAGAAAGGCTGATATGACGCCCTCTCCTCCAGAGCCACAACTATACTCTGACAAGTACCATCAGTTCTCTAAGTTACTTTTAATGAGCAACACAGAAATGCAAGACACACATCAGCGGTGGCATTAGAATCAATTACTTGATAACTATACCATTCAGAAGAATCACATATTAAATCAAAAAAATTTTTTTTACTTGATAAAATAGAAAATGCTATTTCGTAAACGTTCCAAAAACTAGTTGCTTGCTACTACCGGACCCCTCAAGAAACATGCAGGCTATGCCTGGATTACTGACTAATATAGACAGACTGGTGGCGTAAGACAGTTGGGGCTGAGGGTCCAACATGCACACTACATGCACGTTGCCCTGTTTTAACTTGGTCTAGCTCCGCTCTGATCCCACTGACACACCGACTAGCAGTTGGAGCACATAAGGTGCAGTTCTGGAGTGCATCTTCAGTTTAGCTTCACGCAAAAGAAATTCAATTCATGTGCTCCAAAATCACTCCACAGCATGGACTACAGCATGATAAGTGGTAAGAATCAGGAAATTTACTTCAAAAGTGCATTCCTGATCCAAGGTCACACTAATGTTGATGGATCAGCATGCGTACACCAACCAGCTTCTAAAGAAATTACAATACACCATTAATAGAGTTCTGGACTTACTTCAAGCACAATCTCTACACTACTAACTAGATATATTAAATTGCGTAACTTATTTGAAACCATAAGAAGTTGGAAATAAAAATAAAACATACTCCCCAGCTGAAATCAAACTCTGTTTTTCATCTTTCTTCATCCGTGGCCGTCCCAGCTTGACTTTCAATGGAGATGTTGGTGATTTTTGTGCTGCAGGCTGAATAAAATGTGCAAAAAGTTCTGTCTGCTTCAGGAGGAATTCAAACCTTTTTGCTCGATCTGTTTTCTAGTTTCCAAAGTGGGGAGAGAATTCAAAAAAGAAAATACATTTAAAAAAAAAATATGTATTTTTATTAAGAAACAGAACTCAGACACTTAGAAGAACAACTTATATGAGGAAAGACTGACAAGACCATTTGCCTACAGTTGGCCAACTCAGAGGGCTACAAGCATCACAAAACAGCTCTTGAGCTGCTTCAGCTAAGCAAAAATTGCTTTAGAGCAACCAATTGTAACGTGCCGTAGCTCAAATGATCCTTCAAGAATTCCACTCTAATCTGGAAGACATGGCAGGACTTGATAACTTCCTCCCAGCAACTCACCCCCATTCAAAACTCAAAGATTAGTAAAACAACCCAAAAAACAGTTTACTTGCATAGATTGCTTAAGTCTGCATAGCACACCAGCAACTGTGAAAGGACACTTTAAAGGATTGTCTACAAAAGATAAAAACTAAGGTTCTGACTTACAGCAAGGGATGAAATCCTTGCTCCAGTCAGTGGCAAAACTTGCATCAGTTTCAAGGCTATGAGGATTTGATCCAAGGCAACAATGTGGTAGCTCTGCTTTTAGAGGCATGACTAAAGTAATGGATGCACCAGCTCAATACTGCTTTCACTGAAGTTTGTGAACTCTGCTGCCAGATATCAAATTTCAGTCATTTCAGTTTTGCCATATCAATGAGGCGTATGCATGTCACTATATAAACACAGCAAAACTTATGTCCTTCTCTATATTTAAAAAACACACTACATATTTTTTTTTAAATTATAAAATGTAAATACTATCTGACAGAATGCAAGCGTTATCCATTTCTCTACGCGATATCTAAGCATCATGTAACACTGTACCACTTAAAGCAATTTTCATGTGATCTCATTTGTATATCTTGATATGAACTACAAAAGTGAAATTGTAGTCTGTACCATAACCTTTCTAAGAAATATACAAACAACAGAAAGCTCTTCTGCAGGTAGCTTATATGCCAGTAAAAGTAGTCTAATAGCAGTAACGCAAATGAACCTGATGTGCAATGCATGATTTTGCCACATGAGGGCAATGTTTTTCTTTTAACAGTGCACCACTTACCAGCAAACAAACGTCTTTACAAAGATCTCCTGGAAAAAAAATGACTACTATATTTCCCTTCCATTCATTATTGGACTACTTGTGTAAATAATCTGAAAACCGAATAAACTGTAAATATCAAGTAAAAATTTCAGGAAAAAAAAAATCTAAAAGGGGAAGTAAAGATGTGGATGTTTATGCTGATACAGGATAAGAGCAAATCCATTCAGACGACTTATATTAAACTAATAACACATGATGGTTTTGGCCAGCTAACCACAACTGGTAAGGTTCTATATTGAATGCCACAATATACCTTTTTTGTCTGCAAAATTACTGACTGGCTGTAAGCAGCACGCCTTGATAAATAGTCAAGGTCTAGCTCACAACTGCACAACTGATGAAAGGTAAATTTTTTTGAGACCTATTCCCTTTGACTCTTAGAACAACTGTACTAACAATCTGATTTCATATTACTGTGAAACCAAGTTTAGTTATTTGCTCAACTCATTCTCAACAGATTCACTTGTGTGTCTTCTCCTTGATTAAAAGTTAAGTATTCACACAAGCAGGTATCAAATTTTCTACATCTAACAGTGATACCCTTCCCTGGCTTCTATGGTATCCAATCCTTTCAGACACTACTGTATTGATTAGATATTCATTTAACATTAAAGCTTTTAAGACAAATGCAGCAAGATGCAGATACCAGCTTCAACCAATAACTTACTATATTCGTCATTCAAGAACAAGTCTTATACTGTCCCCCTGGTTTCTGCCTCGTTACCAGTACTGCAAGCTCCCTTCATTTGTGTCACAGACAAATCCTCTTTTGCATAGTTATACCATATATATTTTATGGGGCATATCAACCTTTATGTTTTTCTGTGATGAGAAACTGGCAGCTTCAGTATTTCCCTCATTTAAGAAGTAGCTTAAAGTTGCCTCTGACATGACTCCAGGAGTTATCAAATAAAACTAGCAGAGACAGATTCAAAACCAAAAGGGGAGAGTTCTAAACATAAGATGTGATTGAATAGAAACTCCTTACCACAATAGAGTGTGGATAACTAAAACTACTAAGCGGGAAAAAAAACAAGCAGGCAAATCCATAGGCAAAAAACCTACAAATCCACTGACAACTACTGAGTATACAAGCTGCAGCCTCCAACTCCAGAAATCAAGCAGACGCCAATACCTGGAAGAGTGATACAGTATTTAATAGAACTATCCCTACCTGCTTCTTCTGTTGTCACATTCTTTATTTAAAACTTACTATTAGCCACTGTGAGCAACACCACACTGGACTAGACATTTAAACTAATCTTGATTTGTTTTTCTTTTCTGTCATATCCAGTCTGCACTAACTCCCTGTAACTGTGTCGATCTAGCTCAAGCAAACAAATGCTGTAAAAAGCTGCAGTAAGTTTTGTCGTGAAAACACTTACCATCTTCTCTTCATATTCTGGGTCAACTTCTTTTTCAGGTCTAGCTACCTTTGGAGGAAGCTTGAGTTGAAACGGGGGATCATTTTTCTGGAATTCCAATTTTAAACACTTCATAAATATTGGCTTCGTTATTTACTAAAGCAAAAAGATATCAAACTGAACAAATCTATGCACTACAAGACAAGCATGCCACTTTTTTAAAAATAATTATTTCAAAATTTAATGACTGCATTAATCATATTATCACACCCAAAGCAGAAGCTGATATCCATGATGAAACTAAAGAGGAGATATGACCAGATAAAATGTAAGGTTAAGATCTGTCTCATTCTCATGTTTATCTCTACAAATAGGATCCAAGTTGAAAGCATTGAAAGAAAGTAGTAGAAGAGGATGAAGTTTAATCTTTCACAGAAATCTTCCTTTAAATGCGTAATTAAAGTCAACATCTCGAAAAGATTTAGAAAAATTAAATGTGATTTCTAAAGGTAAAATTTCTAACTGTAAATTTCTGGGACTTGCATCTTGGTTGCGTTTGTTGGTTCATTTTCACTTCTGGATGAGTAGTCAAGAGTTTACTTGGAAATACATGTTTAAACTATGCATAGCCATATACCTAGGAAGAGAGACAAACTAAACACCCAAATCAATCAATGCAGCAACCACTGTATGGTATGCTCTTAGACAGTTAATGAAGAACTACCTTATTCACTATAAATGAAAGAAATTTAAACTGTAACAAAAATGGCTGACTTTTGTAGTTAATGAGATTCATCTCTGTCTTCAGTTGGGAAGCTCAAAGCAAGCTTCCACAATTTCAACTGCTACATTGCTATATTTAAAATTAAAAAAAAAAAAAAAGTAAAGCAGGCCATAATACTGGTAAAATATCTTTTTTAAAAAGAGAATCCTGGGAAAAATGTTTGGTGGAGTTTTTTTTACTAATTCAGTCTTTGAAGTATGCGTTTTTACACAACTCCTGCAAATAAAAATTACTTTTTTTGAGATGCATTCAATTACAAAGTTTTTTTCAAAAGCATTGAATAATCTGCAAGGAACTGCCAAAGTGCCTGTCTGTATAAAAGTTAACAGAGTAGAGTTTTAATCTGGCAAGCGCTTTAAGTATCAGCCTACTATAAATTCATTAAAATGAACTAATAATTAATCTAAACTATGCAAGGTCAAGTAGCAAAACCAGATTAAAATACATAGAAGTTTGTCAAGCAACATTACACTTAAATTTCAGAACTGTTACAATAAACATATATGGTAACTTACTCTTCAACTTTAAGCACAATCATGCAAATGGGAGGAACATATACTAAAGTCAGAGATTACCTTTTCATGTTTGGCCCAAGGGCATAATTCTCTGCCAAGGTAGGCACTACAAAGTGTATAATGAAGTTCTTTGATAATTTAATGATTTTATAAATACAAGAGTTCAGCTTTGCAAGGCCAAATTATTATGTTCCAAACAGGTAGCATTAGAAAAGTTCTATTCACTTACAGATTCTTCAGTCATCTAAGTAACCAGCTCATCTCAGAAAGCAATGTTAGGACAGAACTGTCAACACCAACACGCCAAAGAACGGGTCATATATATGTATATATTCACACCTCCATTACATTACTATATAACATTCACTCCAGTAAAAGAGACTGTCAGTGTTAATATCAGGCCCAATCCTCATCACTGAAGTGACAAAATACTTCTCCTCAGAGGAACACAAAATTGACAGCAAGCCATTTCAGATGTCTCCCTCACTTCCCCTAGGAATACATTACATATATACATGCTCATGGAAAAAAGTTGTCTATCTACCTCAGGTAAGCATGAAGTTTCTCCAGGAAAAATCAGAACAACTAAATATGATGAGAGTCTCTTTTAATTGCAAGTTTTCTAAGTAAAATGTCATGCAATATTATCTTTTTAAATCCTTAAGGCAGATGCCTCTAATGCCAGTTCTGTTTTTACCCAGATTTCCCCAGAAGAAGAAAACTGATGGTGGCACACAGATCAAATTTATTAAGAAACAAGTATTTGTGAATAACATACTCTGAGTTAAAGAAGTATATGAACTGACATGTAAAGCTACTGCAGCCACAGCACTATAGAATTACACCCTTTACCTTACCTTCAAGACAGAACACAGTTTCCCTGCCCCACCCCACTCGTCATTGCAGTGTTTCTGCCAAACACTGATGGCCTCAAAATGTTAGAAAAAACGAACAGGAGACTGTCAAATGCTGATGAAAGAAACAAACAACTTAAGAAACATGCATCCCAATAGGCTTTCTCTTCCTCACAACTTACAAGGGAAAAGAATACGCTGTAGTTTCACTAAAACACTAGTCTGTGCTGCCGGAGTTCGATGGATAGTACAGATCACAGACTCACAGAATATTAGGGGTTGGAAGGGACCTCTGTGGGTCACCCAGCCCAACACCCTGCCCAAGCAGGGTCACCCAGAGCAGGCTGCACAGCACCGCGTCCAGGCGGGTCTGGAATATCTCCAGAGAAGGAGACTCCACAGCCTCCCTGGGCAGCCTGGGCCAGGGCTCCGTCACCCTCGGAGTGAAGAAGTTCTTCCTCATCTTCAGACGGAACTTCCTCTGCTTCAGTTTGTGCCCATTGCCCCTTGTCCTGTCGCTGGGCACCACTGAAAGGAGTCTGGCCCCGTCCTCCTGACACCCACCCTGCAGATATTTATAAGCATTTCTAAGGTCCCCTCTCAGCCTTCTCCAAGCTGAACAAGCCCAGCTCCCTCAGCCTTTCCTCACAGGAGAGATGCTCCAGTCCCCTCCTCATCCTCGTAGCCCTCCGCTGGGCTCTCTCCAGTAGCTCCTCATCTTTCTTGAACTGGGGAACCCAGAACTGGACACAGTACTCCAGATGGGGCCTCACTAGGGCAGTGTAGAGGGGATGACCGTCATATCCAAACCTGCTTCCGCAGAATGATCCGTGTTATAAAAATCTAGACCTTGTCAATTAATAAATTTTGATACAAGTAAGAATACTTCTCTCTTATTACCAGATGGATCATGTACCTAATACAGCAGAACCACAAAACTTTTCATTAAGTCTGCAAGAGTTTTACCCTAGAAACTTGACACAGTGCATCTTCATCACTTAGAGAGCTGACTTAACAGGGAACAGGAGGATCAAAAGAAGCCTTGGTGCAAACAATTAATTAACCAGCAAAAAAAGTACTTTCGCTTTTAACTCCGGGAGCTAGCTGGTAACAATCTGCCTCTACCCTCAAAAAGTCTTCAGTTAAAGACTAAACCCAACACAAGAGTCCCCTAAAAACCGGTGTCATTTAAACACCTTACAATAAATGTGACCTTGCAGCAGCTTCAAAAGTAACAGACCCTGAGTACTCAAATGACCCGAATACTTCCCCTTGAAATCTCTACTAACTAGCCTGAACAGAGCTACTAACTTCGGGCTGAAAGAATGATTTGTGTCTCATAAGTGCAATAGTTAGTCCTAAAACGTGTAGGTCACGAGAACACCTAAATAAATGACTGAGAATAAGAACCGTTGCTACTTTAGTTGACTACTCTCGTAACCTGTGCTACTGAGAACTTTAAAGAGATGCATTAAAAATTAGAAGGACCCCTTTTGTGTTTAACTCACATATACAGCACAGAAATACATTCATAATAACCATTAAGTTAAGACATTGTTTTGGTACTACTACAACAAGAAACACTATTTATAGTGAAGTAAAACAGTGAGAGGGGAACAGAGCACAACAGGCTGTATTACATATCACTACTATGCAGATCGTGTAACTAACTGTACAGCTGTTTAACAGACCCGTGGCCCAACATGAAGTGAAATTCCACAGTCTAAATAAAAACTCAAACAGCAAAAGCTGCCTGTTTACTTTTTTTTTTAAGAAACATATTGACCAGTACAGCACAGTAGTGAAATGTTGATAATATTGGAAACCATTCACTGCTTTTGAATGCCTGCCTGGAGAAATCATTCTCTAAACATTTAGTACTAACTTTTTATCAGACATTCACAAAATTTTGCAGAATAAGTTGTATCCAATACAGATATAGTCCTTCAACTTTTTCCCCTAAACAATCAGGTAATGCTCAGACTGTACTGTACCTCGTACCTGTTTGTATGCATAAGTAATGAAATTAAGAACCAAGCGTTCTTTTCAGGCAAAACCAGACTTTCATCACTTGGAATAAAAATTCTGATTGCACTAACACCAATACTTCTGCAATTTTCTCCAATATCATAAACACGACACAGGGTCATCATTCTTCCTAAGTGTTCATAAGACGCGTTCTTCAGGTTAAATCTTGCTCAGTTTCCAAGGATACCCGAACACGTCACTTCTTACATTCCTTCTGCTTCAGCCTGGAGTCTTTTTTTCCAAAAAAACCCAGCGGGAGGAGGCTGGCAGCCATGCGCGCCCCACCCGGCGCCCCCATTCCTCTCCGGGACAGCTCTACCTGGGGCCGGGGGAAGGGAAACAAGATGGCGGGGGGCACCTGAGGAGGGGCCCG